ACATGAGTTTTCCAACCATATCTTATCATATCAGCTTAAATAAACGAGGCTTTTTAGGGCAGAAAAATGTATTTTGAAAATATGGTGTAAAAAAAGAAAATATACTTAACTGTGGGATTAGGAGACCTCACATCACTAAATTATAATGTTATATAATAAAATTAAACCATCCCACAAATAATGTTATACAATAATATATATATATATATATATATATATATATATATATATATATGTGGGAGGCAAACTAGTTTTTGTAACTATCCAACTAACACATTTTAATAATCTTGTGTCCATCCCATTAAAATGAGTAATTAATAATGTAGTTAAATGCAATAAGATAGTTAAACAAAGGGATATTCATGCATTGTTCAATCCTAGGCCTCATATTTAAGATCAAAACATGCAACAATTAAAATTTTAGAATGATTTAATATTTAAGGTATAAATTTTATATAAGAATAATTTATTTCTATTAAAAAAATTAATATGTTTATTTTTTTAGAATTCATATATATTCATACGGTAACTATTTATGATAAAATATACTTTTAATTATGTTTTTTTGTTTTTATTGTATTTCATTAAAAAAAATTATAGTATATATGATTTTAAAATTTTAAAAAATTAATTATAGTAAACATCTATTCTAGGTGATGACTTTACATGGCCGGTTTGAAAACATTTTAATAACAATTACTATAATGAATATGAAACGTGAAGTACACGGCAATTAAAATGCGGAAATGCCTACGCTCCACATATCAGTTGGTAGGTAATGTGGAATATATATTGTAAAATTGTAATTCAATCTTCATCCCCCTATATATTAATATATATATATATATATATATATATATATATATATATATATAGAGCGCTCAACGTAGTTATTTCTGGTGCTTCGGAATTATATGTGGCAAAATTGCATGCTTCGTTATTAGACTTGGATAAATTTTAATTTAATTATAAACAAAAAATAATTAGGTTCAAATTACCATAAACATGTTGATTATTTATGGTCATGTTACATGTATTAATTGTATTTTAATATCATTCCTTATTATAACTATTGAATTGTATATATATTTTAAAAGTTAATAACTTTTGTATTTTTTATCAGTTTTACATATGTAATATATCAAATTAACCTTCTTTTGATGATTTTCGATTTAACATCCATATTGTATGTATAAAAAAAATAATTTATATTTATCTTTATAACAATAATAAAATTACTTTTAATATTAATTAGAAAAATATAATTATTTATCAACTAATATATTTATATTTCAAGTAGTTATATGATATAAGTTATAGAAACTAATATAATTAATATAACACATGTAAGTCATAAGTAACACGTATCATTCCAAAATATATAGTAATATATTTTTTTCTTGTAAAAAAAAATGAACTAAATTTAATATAGTTTTCTCATTAATTTTAAAATTTAAGAATAATTTTTTAACAAGCACTCGTGTAATACACGGGTGTTGTACTAGTTATTATTAAATAAAAAAAATGTAGCACCTTTTCTATTCATTTTCAACAATACTAGTACACAGCCCGTGCAATGCACGAGGTGCACAATTTTAAGGTCATTTATCCAGCCTTATAATTATATAAATGAATAAAGAAAAATGAACGGGATATATATAGTACGTGACATGTGCGAGGTACAAGATATATTTATTTTGGGATTATTATACTATAAGATGCAATATTCAATAAAAGTTCTACAATACACGAAAATAAATATGAATAATGTAAATATCTAAATACATACACGATATGTAGAATAAATAAGCCAAATTGCAAATCTGAAAATATAATTTAAAAAAATCGAAAATATATTTCACTAAACATGTACAAAAATATCTAAATACATACACGAAAATAAAAAAAAAAAAAGGCAAAGAAAATAAATATTCGAGTAAGCAAGTCATCCACGAACAACAGATACGGGATCTCCATTCGGCCGCACCCCATTGACTGGCCTCTTAAGGCCCAAGCGCTTGGTAAAGACCAGCTCGCCAAATTCGTCGATCGAATCGGGTGCCCCGGAACGTCGAATGAAGGGAATACCGGTTTCTCATATATCACTTTCAAGACCCTTATCGAATTCCTTGCGAGGGCCGGAACTGATCAAGCCAAGAATTAGAGGAAGCAATTGCTAGCAATGAATTAAAATATACGTTTCAAATTTCGAAATTAAAACAAAAATTAAAATAATTTGGCTTCCAGTTTTATCATGCAGAACAAACTCGAGATATGATTTGTATGTGTTGCCCGAGTCTTGGAAAAACATTCTCACAATTCGAACTTTGAGCATGGGTCTGTTAGATCTATTGGCTTGTTTGATTAACCTAAATTCTTGATTCATTGTCTTGAATAAAAGACTGATTGAGTATATTTTTTGTTCGCATGAGGTTGACAGTGAGGAAGATGATGACTCGATATTTTGAGATTTGTAATTTATAATGGGTAGAGTAGATATATATTGTTGTTATTTTTATTAGAAAATCCGAATCTGAATATACAGAAATCTGTTTGAACAAAATCAGAATAGATTTCCATACAATTATATAATAAATTAGATAATAAATAAAGTTTTTTTTTTTTATTATTTTCGAAAAGATTTTACGTACTTTTTTTTTACTTATCGGATGTTATGGGGTATTTTTGTTAAATCGGTTTTATGGGATGTAATACAAATACAATTAGAGGAATTGAACAAAATCAGAACATATTTCCATACAATTAGATAATTAGAAGGAATTAGATAAAGAATTTTGAATCTGCCTTTTTTTAGTATAGATAGACTTTACGTACAAATTTTGACTTCACCGATTTTATGGGATTTGTTTTGACAAAATCGATGTTAATATGAAATAAGACAAATAAATAAAGTTTTTTTTTTTATTATTTTTTATTTTAGTAAAGATTTAACGTTTTTTTTTTACTTATCAGATGTTATGAGATTTTTTTTCTCTTAAACTGATTTTATGGGATATAAGACAAATAAATACAATAATTAAATAAAATGAACAGAAATAGCAATGCATTAATTACGTCGATTTTTCAACTTACTAGATTGTGGATATTATTTTGCATTATTTTATATTATTTCCAAACAATATTACGCATTTACACAACACTTACATTAAAAAAAATCAAAATTTTCAGTGAGGCAACCAACAGTTAATCTGTCAAATTTTGTGAACAAGTATACATATTTATAGTTATAAATGTTATATTTTGTTAAAACAAATCTTTGGGTGAAGTAAGTCATGTTTTATGAACAAAAATGCATACTTATACTATCAAAATGTCATATTTTGCATACCTTCTATTAACAATAAATATTTTTTAGAAAGATATATATAATTCATTAATAAAAACCATAATTACAAGCGATTACATAGGCGAATGAAACAACTACACAATTGAATTCAGTTTGTAGGACTAAAAAAACACTCTGAAAGAGAATAATAAAAAACACAAGAAACTCAAACTCACACAACACGGAAACAAACTACAAAACAAACCAATAGCTAAAATAAAACTTTTCTCGACAACCGACAAACTACTCACAAACATAAATCACGACATCGACCCCCGAGGGCAACCACCCACACGGACAAAGACACGACCCGAAGCGGAGACTCAGAAGCTGCAGAATTACTATGCCTAACTAGAATTGAGCCAACAAACCCGATCCCTCTCCCAAGTAGACGATCCCCAGACTAAAAAACAAAGGCCAGTCCCAAACTCCAACCCCCACACTGATCGGCAGCCACACATGCAAACAACTGATCAGAGCCAAAACCTTCAAACACTGTCGAGACCCACCACCTAATTACACCATGGATACGGGAAATCAGCGGAAGACGAGGGGTGGTGGGGTGGGGAAGAGACTAACTGCAGCTCTGACCACGACAAGGCTATAATCGAAGCCAGCTGCCCAAGCTTGCTTCCGAAAACGCCAGGAACACTCGTAAGCACCGCGTAACCAACCATTCGATGCCACCCGACTGAGAGGTCCACGATGACTGAAGCCAGGGAGCCCAGCTTGGCGGCGGACGACACCACAGTAGTGCGGAGCACCCCGCTGAGAGAAAACCGACGAAATTCACAATTTAGGGTTTTATTGTTCAATGCAACAAAGAAAAATTAGGATAAATAAATTGATGAATTTATGCATATTTGCAAAACGAGTATATCGAATTGTCCAAAAGGCGAGGCCTACCATCACCTTACCCACAATTAAATATTACATTTTTTCTTTCTCCCAACTCTCTCTACATCATTCTCTCCAAATTGTCTTTGTATTTTCACGCACACAAAGTCACACACACACACGCACGAGAAGAAATATGCTTCCCTACCAAATAATGGACAAGTTTGTTTTATTTTATTATTACTTTTTTACTTACAGTTTCTTGAGCAACTTCGGCTTTGGGGGGTTGTCTGAAAAATTTCTCCATCCTCATCTTACTGTCGTTGACGCTCACAACACACACACACACACACACACACACACACACACACACACACACACACACACAATTCAAAAGCACCCATCCAAGATTCAAGAACACAAACAGCCTCTGTTCATGAACCTCTTGACGACCCTGTAATTTTTTTCCCATCAAATTATCCAAAAAACGAAAAAAAAGATTTCACCTTGAAAGAGTCTTTAATAGCTAATAGTCTTTGGTTTATGTAAAGTTGTCAAACATAAAATGACAACTCTTGTTATAGGCAACAGTATATATAGCACTTTGTAAACAGATCATTATTCATTAATTCATAATTGTGTTTTTCTTTCTTTCTCTGAGATTCTCTCCTCTCTCTCCAATATCAGAAACCCTAAATCTAATACACCTTTATGCAGTCCCGACGATGAATTATTTCAGCTAATCCGCCATTAGAGAGAGAGAGAAAGAGAGAGGTAAATTAATATCGGAATTGGTTATCAGTACTTATCTAGCTCCATGGCCTTCCCCAACCACTTACCCCAAGAAATGGGCCTCCACCAGTTCTCCGACCACCACCTGCCGGAAAATCCCTCCGTCCTCCGGAACATCCTCCCGGAGCAGCTCCCCCCGCCGGACGGAAAGCCCCAGCGCCCGCCCCCCGCCGCCGCCGCCTGGCTCAACAGCGCCGTCCTCCGCCAGCCGGACCAGTTCCCCTCCGCCGCCGGCGGCGGCCCCAATTTCCTCAACCTCCACACCGACGCCGCCGACACCTCCAGCACGCCGGCCGCCGTGGCAAGCCAGTGGCTCTCCCGCCCGATCCTCCAGCGTAGCGGCGGCGCAGGGGATGACGTCCAGGTCACCGGCGACTCGATGATGGCCGCCGCCACCGCCATCTCCCACGAGTCCGCCGATTTGGGCGGCGGAGGGGCGGTTGACTGGCAGAGCGCGAGGTGCAAGGCGGATATTTTGTCCCACCCGCTGTACGAGCAGCTCCTGTCGGCACACGTGGCGTGCCTGAGGATTGCCACCCCCGTGGATCAGCTGCCGAGGATCGACGCCCAGCTGGCGCAGTCGCAGCAGGTGGTCGAGAAGTACTCTGCCCTTGGCCGTGGAAACCCGGGAGACGACAAGGAGCTCGATCAGTTTATGGTGAGGACTTTCTGTTTCTGTTCTAACTTCTTTGAATAAGATTTATGTTCCTTTTTGTGCATTTGGTAGTCATATATGGAATTATTCTACTTTCTTTGTTGTTGTTATTATTTATCCTTCAATGAACATTCTGATTCGAATTCACTCTCTCTTCATTTAAAATCTCTGTTGTCCTGTCTTCATCGTTTTTCCTTTCATCTCTTTTGAGTTTTGGGAAATGCTACAGTCCCGTTATGGAACCATTTATTTGTAACCGTTATAGCATCATGTAACCTTCGTGGATAGTTGATCTAATAGTTACGAACCCAACGGACTGATTCTCAAAAAACATGCTTTTAATCTAACCGTTCACCTCTTGTGTACTTGCAGACGCATTACGTGATATTGCTATGTCAATTCAAAGAGCAGCTGCAGCAGCATGTGCGCGTTCATGCAATGGAAGCAGTTATGGCATGCTGGGAGATCGAGCAATCTTTACAAAGCTTAACAGGTGAAGTTTCATCGCAAATTCCATTGTGCCATTTTAACGGATATATCTCATTAAACAACTCATAACCGGTGTGCCATTTTCATGTGCTCTCGGAACCTCTAATAAAATTATTTTCTTCTTATTTTTTCTGTTTGGAGCAGGAGTTTCGCCTGGAGAAGGGACAGGAGCTACAATGTCGGACGACGAGGATGATCAGTTGGATGATAGTGATATGCATTTGTTCGATGGAAGCTTTGATTGTGGTGACAGTATGGGATTTGGTCCTTTGATCCCAACAGAAAACGAGAGATCTTTAATGGAGCGTGTAAGACAGGAGCTCAAGCACGAACTCAAGAATGTATGTGGCTCCTATTTTTTTTCCCTTCTTTTAATATCTGTGCATACAAATTTATGCTTTGTGTATGCACATTTTAATTTGGTCCACCGCGTAACAGGGTTACAAGGAGAAAATCGTGGACATTCGGGAGGAGATCTTGCGCAAGAGACGAGCAGGAAAACTCCCTGGTGATACGACCTCAGTCTTGAAAGCTTGGTGGCAATCGCACTCAAAGTGGCCATATCCCACAGTATGTTTGATCAGAATCTCACCCGAACCACATTACGTATACATATTACAGAACCCGTTAACTTTTGCTAACGAATGTTCTAATTTTTCTCTATCTGATCGTTGATTTTTTGCAGGAGGAGGACAAGGCGAGACTTGTTCAAGAAACAGGATTGCAACTTAAGCAGATAAACAACTGGTTCATTAATCAAAGGAAGAGGAACTGGCACAGCAATCCTTCTTCATCAACATCTTTGAAAAGCAAGCGAAAAAGGTATTCTATATGTCGACACTTCATACTTTCTTTCGTTTACGCTGAATTTTTTCGAAATTGATTCTTGCTCAAATTAGTTTGATTGAGAAGCAATGCAGGTGAAAAGGGCAACACCCGTCAAGTTTGATATACATGCAGCCGTTTGGTCGTTATTTGCACTTCAGCGGTTTGGTCAGGTTTTTATAGTTACGTACACGAAAAAGACCGGACGGTTGTATGTGTACCCGGAGGTTCATCCTAGTTTAACCTTTTTTTCTTACATGTGTCAACATTTGTGAATAAATGATGATTGGTGTTTAGTTTTATACATCTCAGTAGCATCTGATCTGGTGGATTTGCAACAATGAGGTAGAGTGTACTTGTTTTCGAACCGGGTTTTATGAATAGCCATGGTTAGAAGGTATTATTATTGTTGATAAAAGCACAATGAATTACAGCACTAGTAAATACCATAAGATCAATGTATTCGAGGTATTTAATAAAAACAGCATGAAATAAAAACTTTTCACGCCATAGTAAAGAAGTTCAATCTTTCTTTTAAGATCAAAGCATTCTAGCCATTTCCTCTAGTTTCCTCGTCTCCGAGCTTTCTGCAGTGAACTTCACCCTCACAATCCAACTTTCGGGCTCGAGTTGGATGGGATCTCCTAGTAAGACTTTTCCTCTTACTGAAGGCGTTGACCACGGAGATCGAGCCGTAGATGATCCATTAGATTTGCTTTGCCGATTGACGCTAAGGAATTTCGGAGTTTTCAAATCAAAATTAAGGTCCTCTATGTCTTGGATAACAGCCTTCAACTTTATAGATTGCCATGACAATAATTGTGTCATGATTAAGGCTGCAAATGAGTCGAGCGGCACACGAGCCGCTCGCGAGCGCTCGAGTCAAAGCTCGAGTACGTTATCGAGTCGATCACGAGTCCAAATTTTCAAAGGACAAGCGGCTCGAATTAGCGGTAAAATACTTAAATACCTTTTATATATATGTAATTCACAAAATTGTCATACATATATAATTTATAGTTGTTGAAATTTGAGCCGAACTCGAATCGATCTTGAGCATCGAACCAATCTCGAGCATCGAGTCGATCTCAAGCATTTCCATTTGTTTCACAAGTCGAGCTCAAGCGTCATCTCAATGGCTCGTCGAGCTCGGCCAATGAAAAAAATCGAGCTCAACAAGGTCTACGCTCGACTCAGCTCGACTCGTTTGCAGGTCATGATGTTATTCTACTTATTTGCTTGTTTTTAATGTGTTTGTGTGGAGTTCTACTAGATTCGACCTTTTTAGAAGATTGAGTCAAATGTTTTAGTTTTTATTTCTAATTCATAACTATCATTTTTATTTCGACCATTTTAGATGATTGATTCAAATGTTTTAGTTTTTTTCCATTTCATAACTATCATTTTTATTAATACTAGTAAGTGCACGTGCGATGTACATGGTCGTTAATGTTTTTTGTCGATTAAGTTTAGTAAGATAAATTTATTAATTTATTAAACATATCATTGCAGGAACAATATAAAATTTAGAACAAATGAACTCTTAATGTTTTTTTGTTTCTTACAAAAATAACATAATGATGTTCTAATATTAAAATAATGAAATGACATATTACAACTCTGGTATGTCAAAAACCTCGGACCGGCTTTGTTCTACCTGGACTGGCTTCCTCATTGGTTAATGCCTTATATACCTGCACAAACTCAATGCCGGGTGGTTTTCTAGCATAGAGCATTCGACGCTCAAGTTTTAACATGAAGAAGATGATGAACAATAGTAGAGTACTGTAAGTAAGTACGTGTACAAAATATAATGTTATTATGAGCATACCTCATTCCTTTGTATAGAGATGTGTTATCTAGTTACCCAAACTGCCTGAACTACCCGTTTGTACTACTCAAGTTGCCAAATTCTGTTATGCCAATTGGCCCTATCCACGCATGATTCTTATTCTAATAATATTCTTTCTTATCTAGTAGCCTGCCTTGTTAGATAGTTTAATCGTGCGACCGACCTAGATTACCTCGAGATGGAGTGTTGTCAATTACTGACCTCAAATGCCCAGCTCACCCGGTCAATCCTACAACCAGTGGTTCAAGTAGAGCTTCAGCCAGGCCGTCCGAGGGGCCCCAGCTCGACTTGTCGGTGCTCATTGGATTCGCGACATCCTCATTGACCCGAGGACTCTTCGGACTGCAACGCTTTCTATCTCTATTCGACATGCCAGTTCGCCCATTTTGATCGTGTCGTTTCTTGGGTCTAGTCGACCCGATATAACATAACATATCATCTAGCCCCCCACTCTGGTCGAGTTAATATAAATCGATGTAAGAGTGCATTTGGTTGTTCTTATTGTTGGTAGATCAACTCCTTCGCTTTTTTGACCTCATCGTATACTTTTATGTTATGTTTATAAATTTGTTCGACCCTTTGCCATGATTTCCTTTTCAAAATTTGAATTTCAAATGTGTGCCACTTGTCTGAAGGCGACAACTCCACATGTCATGTCCAATGGCGCTTCGACGTCTGTGTTGTCCTTGTACAACCAGTAGCACTACTGTGTGCCCTGGCACACCTAGCTAGGTGTGCCAGGGCAGTTTTGCACGCGCTTCCAACACCCCAAAAACAAGAAAATTTGGAGAGTGTAGTCCACATTCTTATTTTTTCTTTTTTAATTGAAAAATGAGACATATTACACAAATTAAAATATCATTAATTATTTATATTAAAAAAATAAAATAAAAATACTAAAATTCATAATTTTTCATTATCTATAAATAGAGACCACGTTTGATAGGTTTTTTAACACAACTAATTTTTAGTTTTTTCGTAATTATTTTATTATACTGACATATAATGAACATGTTACATAATAAAGTGAATATGTTTTCAAATATGATGAACATGTTACAGATTGCAGATTAAA